ATTAATAACCAATAACGCAACCATGTTCTGTTGCAAAACATGGTAATTAGGGCGGTTTCCTAAGAAGGAAAAACATGAAAATTTGGAAATGTATCGAATAACATTGCGATGATTCGTTTGATTAGGACTTCTAATAAACTTCGTAATCGATTACGAAATAAAAGTAAAAGTTTATCAGAATACCTTGGCTTTAAATCTTATTTGTTAAGAGTGAAGAAAAATGTTTAAAATTATTTTAGTAAATATCAATTATCAAAAAAGTTCTTGAACCAAGTTGCGGCACGTAACACTCTTGAAATTTAATAGGCAACACTATCTGAGAATCGAATAATTATTGAACACATGTATAATACCAAGCAGGATTTTACACTACATCTCACTACACTGGAAAATCAAATTAGAATCGATTTCCCCGAGAATTTCTGCCTGATGACTGAATCCATGTAATACGCGACACGCGCGCGCCCATACGCACACACGCATACACGCATACATTTATACATTTACTCTCCCAGAACGCTCGCATTGCGTTCACATATTATTCGAATTTGTAACTTTATTTTTTTTATTGTAAATCAGACAAAAACTTCGTAATTAAGTATTTGTTTTTTTGAAATAATTATTTATTAACCCTCCTTCATTCCCCGCTTCCCGAAAGGTCACACGAAGTCCTATCAGATATTAAAGAGATTAATTTCTCTGACCTAAAAACGAACCAGCGGGCGCACTGGCGCAGGCAGGCGTTATAGCATCATTGATGTTGACCCGTTAGTCTGTGCACAAAAAGTGCATTCAACTCGCAGATCAACACTTCAAATGTCGGTTTGCGAGAGAGAAAGATAGTGTTATGTTCGAGGTTCGAGAGGAGAAATAATATTTTTTGGTCAGGAACTCGGGTGGACGCATGGAACTGTCTTTACTCTCCCGGATCGACGTCGTGGGGTCGAACGCGCCCTAAGAGTACAGGGAATAGGTCAACGTCAATGACGCTATAACTCCTTACCTGCGCTAGCGCGGTCGGTGGTCCGTTTTAAGTCAGAGAACCGAATCTCTTTAACCAGGGATGGACTTCGTATGATCTTCAGGGAGCCGTGAACGGTTTCGGGGTCAAGATTTTTTTAAGCAAATAAATAGAAACAATTCGGGTTAACTACGATTTAATAATAAAAAAGGAAATACAACATCTTAACTCTACGCTTGTACGAAGTAACACAAATGTTAGAGTGTACATTTGAATATGGAAAATTATTGTTTACAAAACTTTCATACACAAAACTTTATA